GTGCAGACCCTATGGTTTCGAGAACTATGTAGACATGACCAAGACATATCTTCGGTCAATAACCAATAGCAGAACCTGGATGCTCTTATTGGATCCCACATATTCTACGAATCTTTATCGGTCAAACGGCATAACAACATACGTTGTTCCCTTTGTCATCGGTATGTTACTTGCCCGAGATTCGATCGTCGGTATCATCATACCTAGTTCAATCTCGTTACTGGCAAGTCTCTTTACTCGTTCCGTAATGCATCATCCGGCAACTAACTCATTAGTCACATTGCTTGCAAGGCTTATAGTGATGTGCATTACCGAGAGGGCCCAGAGATACCTCTCCGATACACAGAGTGACAAATCCTAATCTCGATCTATGCCAACCCTAAAAACACCTTCGGAGACACCTGTAGAGCATCTTTATAATCACACAGTTACGTTGTGACGTTTGAGATCACACAAGGTGTTCCTCTGGTATTCGGGAGTTGCATAATCTCATACTCTGAGGAACATGTATAAGTCATGAAGAAAGCAGTAGCAATGAAACTGTAACGATCATGATGCTAAGCTAACAAATGTGTCTTGTCCATCACATCATTATCCTAATGATGTGATCCCGTTCATCAAATGACAACACATGTCTATGGTTAGGAAACATAACCATCTTTGATAAACGAGCTAGTCAAGTAGAGGCATACTAGGGACACTTTGTTTTGTGTATGTATTCACACATGTACTAAGTTTCCCGTTAATACAATTCTAGCATGAATAATAAACATTTATCATGAAATAAGGAAATAAATAATAACTTTATTATTGCTTGTAGGGCATATTTCCTTCATTACTCTCAATTGGCAACAGCTGCAAATGCCGACCGTCCCAAACGCCAGCCTCGATAACCCATTCACAGTGGAGGAGGTATGGGAGGCGGTCAAGGATTCGCCGATGGATAGGGCGCCGGGTCTGGACGGCTTCCATGGGGTGTTCTATAGATCCTGCTGGGCAACAATCAAGGAAGATGTTACGCTTGCCTTCAACCAATTCTACTATTGTGCTGGCCAAAACCTCCGTGACTTCAATTCTGTTCTTGTTGCCTTATTGCCGAAGAAGGACGGGGCTTTGAAAATATCAGATTTTCGCCCCATTAGCCTCATCCACTCCATAGCCAAGCTCATTGCAAAAGTGCTATCCATCCCCCTGTCAAAGATCATCCACCTGATTATTTCACCTGCCCAAACAGCCTTCATGAAGTAAAAATGCATTCAAGACAGTTTTATGTATGTTCAGAATGGAGTCGGGTCACTGCACAGGATGAACACACTGGAAGTGCTGCTGAAACTTGACATCACCAGGGCTTTTGACAGTATATCCTAGACCTATCTGATTGAGCTCATGCAACAGTTGGGCTCAATCTCCCGTTGGTGGGGCTGGGTGACGCTGCTACTATCCACCTCATACTCCTCGTTCATGCTTAATTGTATACCTGGGTTGCCTGTCTGGCACCGCAAAGGATTGAGGCAGGGCGATCCCCTAGCCCCTCTGTTGTTCATCATTGCCATTGATCCCCCCCCTACACCGGCTGCTACAAGTTGCTGGCGACCAAGGTCTGCTCCAACCGTTGTCGGGCAGAGAAACTAAGCTGAGGGTGAGCCTATACGCGGATGATGCGGTCATCTTTGCAAATCCGATCAAGGACGAGATTGAAGCACTCATGCAAATTGTACACAGCTTTGGGGAAGCCACATGATTGATAATTAACCTCTAGAAGCCGATGGCCACACCGATCAGGTGCTCTGATATCAATATGGAACAGGTTCTACAGAGTTTTGGCGGTCAACACACAAACTTCCCCCTCACATACCTAGGCCTACCATTCACCATCAAGCGGCTCAGATTAGTCCACCTGCAGTTTATTCTGGACAGGATTCAAGCTCAGCTTGCCGGATGGAAAGGAAAACTGATGTCCATCGCTGCCAAGAGGGTTATCGTCAGAGCAGTCCTAAGCTCACTGCCAACGTTTGCAATCACAATGCTGCGGATACCTAAAAAATTCCTCAAGGAGGTGTACAAATCCCGTTGAAAATTCCTATGGGCGCAGGACGAGGAACTGTCAGGCGAAAAGTGCAAGGTTAATTGGTCCAAATTTTCTCACTAACAGATTACGGCATGCTTGGCATTCTCAACCTTGGGAAATTCAGTAGGGCACTAAGGTTGTGATGGCTATGGTACTCTTGGAAGAACCCAGATCGACCGTGGGTGGGGATGGAAGTACCATGTGATGACAGAGACAAGGCTGCGTTCAGCGCAATGACAACGATCACCATTAGGGACGGACGCACGACCACCTTCTGGGGTTGTGCCTGGGCCAACGCTTAACCCTTCAAGACTTCCTTCCCGCGCCTGTTCAAACACTCCAGAAGGAAAAACAAGACTGTAAAGGCGGCGCTGCGGGACAACATTTGGATCAAGGACCTATCGCATGGTAACATAAACCCCATGCTCCAGGAGTTCTTGAGCTTGGAGAGATCGATAAGATCCTCCAGAGCGTGAATCCGGCTGGGCCAACCTGATGAGGTTAAGTGGAAGCTCACGGAAAATGGGGAGTACAGTGCGTCATCAGCGTATCAAGCCTAATTCCAAGGATCTATCAAGACCCCTTTCAAGGCGATTCTCTGGAGTGCCTGGGCTCTCGGATGTCTTCTCTGGAGTGCCTGGTCTCTCGGACGTCTCAAGATCTTCGCGTGGTTGCTGCATCTAGACCGTCTGTGGTGTAACGACATGCTGCAGAGACGGGGATGGGAGAACCAATACTTCTGCCAGCTCTGCTTCAGACAATTAGAAAGCTCAATTCACTTATTCTGGTAATGTGAGTTGTTCAGGGCTATCTGGGAGAAGGTGGCTACGTGGAACGGCTGCCAAGCCGTGCACCCTCTCCTATGTTCCTCCCTCAACCACTCAATGGACATCGTCGAGAGGATCATTAGTAACACTGTGACGGCAAACCGGAAGGGAATCACGACAATTGTCACTCTCATGCTTTCGGAAATCTGGTTGGAGCAGCACCAGTGCACATTCAGAGGCAAAGTGGCCCAGAGGAAGGATGTTCTAGTGGCGGCAAGGCGAAACATCAAGTTGTGGCGTCAAGAAGGTGCCAAATGCCTATAGCAACCGTTTGCAGAGCCACTAGCAGGGATCGGCTAAGTTGTATTGCATAGATGAACGGCCTTCTGTGCCTTTTCCCTCCTAAATTTTTTCCTTTGATCTTAGGATCACCCCCTGTTTAACATTTTTCCCGTTGCTTCCTGCTTAATATATGAATGCCAGCAATTTGCTGGATCTTTGAAAAAGAAATTACATGCATCGTGTGCAAGTCCAATGAGAGGAAGGATAATGCAATAATTGCTTCAAGAGTTGAACAAGTGAGGAACATTTCACTGGATAGTGTTGTATCCACAAAAGTCGTGTCATCCACTCACAATCTACATTGGTTGATGATCTCTCTAAATCGGAAGAGAGGGAGTACATATCCTATACTCCCTCCGTCCTTCAAAGAGTGTACTTTCAATTTTATTGGAAAGTCAACCTTTTGTATGTTTGACTTTATTTATGCAAAAATACACCAACATTTATGCCATCAAATTTATAGCATTGGATTCATGATAAAATATATTTTCATCATATACCTATTTGGTTTACATTAATGTATTTTTGGACAAACTCGGTCAAGCTTTGAGATAGTTTGGCCCTCCAACAAAGTTGGAAGTACACTCTTTTAAGGACGGAGGGAGTATATACATATGTGATCCGCACTATCGTATTTATCTCAAGACGCACATATGCCACATCACCACACATGCCGCCTCATCAATTATTTTTTCAATTTTTCTTAATTGCATGCTCCACCCAACTAGCAATGCAAGCATGCTTGCATGGAAAAATTCTACCTCAATGCACAATCATGTACGGAAAAAATGTTTTACAATATAGAATAATTAGATGATATTATTAATCTAAATATTTATGTTCTACACAATAAAATCTCATTGGAATATATTGCAACCAGTTTCCGCCGCAACGAGCGAGGTATCCTCTAGTAGAAACATATAGATTTGGGTACATGTCCACCCAGGAATCGAATGCCCCCGTCGTTGCATCCATCCCCTTTGTAGCCTCCTGTTTTTGTGCGTCGCGTGCGTACTGTGCAAAGTATTCCTTGCCTCGCAGGTCGCGGCCCATGAATGCATTGTACGTGTATGCAACTGACTACTGCAACAACACGGAAAACTTGAGCTCTCCTGTCCCCTGACGGGACCGGACGGTGCTTGCTTCCCAACAGACAATCGTCTGAACTTGCATGGTGCTCTTCCAAGTGGCAGGCAGAAATGGAACCGAAATACTCCTGCCATGCCAACCAAGACAACCAATATTTTACATTGTTGCAAAAGGGTGCATAGAATACAAATACAAGGCGCTCTCCTTAAGGGCACAACAGCTAGTTAGGGTTGCAAGAGGATCTACAACCCGAGGTCCTATGTCCTCCTGAAGTCCGGGCGGCCTCGGCTACTAAAGTAAATTGTCACTCAACCGGACCTGGCAAATTTAACCCAAACGTCCATGTTGACCGACATCCCTCATGTCCAGGTCATATGTGGAGCAGATATAAGGACATTCTGGCACGTCCGATGCGTTAGATCCGGCCCACGTGACCTACCCGACCCCATCAATATTCATCCCTATCTGCATCATGGACCAAACCCTAAACACTTCACTTCACTTTCACAATCCGCTCCCAAGCTCCTCTCCGACATGGCACGCGGTGGATCCGAATCAAAGATCTCCGGATCCATTGACTGGGACCTCATTCCATGCGGGGATGAGGAGTTGGTCGTCCGGCTAGCTCTCCGCTTGTCCTCGGAGTAAATCCCAGCTCCGCAGTTGGACTCGCTCCGACAGGTTTCCTATGCAAATTACACTTGGATCCAGCGGCATCGATGGCTTGAGGCACGTTACCGCGGCAGAGCCAGACGTGCTGACCATTGGCTAGAGGTACCATGGCGCTGGAACGACATCCCCGTGTTGGCGACGCAGCCCATGTGATGGCGCCTCATCCCCGCGGCAGAGGACTCCGAGTCCGAGATCAACACCAGCACGCGGCACAACCCAACACCTGTGGAGCACCAGCATGCCCACCGTACGAGAACGAGGGCGTGGCAAGCCGCGCAGGCCGAGTCGCATGCCACCTTGGGCAGGCACGAGGAAGCCCTTCGTGCCCGCATCATCACGAAACGGCAAGCCCAGATTGCACGTGCACTTGCAAAGGATCAAAATCGGGCGGTCTATTCCCTCTTCGAACTGCCCAAAAGAGTAGGAGGCCGGTGATGGATCGGACAACTCCAGCAAGAGTAGATCTGACTCAATCCATATTGTGCCTTTGACAACTACTTCTGCAACAAAGATGGCAAGAGCAAAGGCAAGGGCAAGGGCGGCCATGGGTGAAATTCATCCATTGTTGTATCATTCGTAACTAGTAGAACATGTTAATTTTTGGTAGGCGAAGTATCGAGTGAAAACGCCTGTTCAGTGAAACTTGAAAACTATCCGCGTAGGCCTTCAGATCGTATGGTACAGATCGGAGGTGGGAATCCCACCAGCCACTTAACCACACTTTTTCCGAGAACCCTCTATACTAACAATAAGTAGCTCAAGAATTTTTTTGGGGGAATTATCCCCTTCCTACTTTTTCTCCAACCGCGAGGGCGATCCGGAGGCCACGTCGATTCAACGGCGATTGACTGCAGCACCGTTCTCCTAGCGACGGCGACTTGGAGGCCGCCGCGGCGCTCGCTCATGCAACGACGACCCAACGGCCATGGTGATGCCTCCGCGCGGCGGCGACCTTAGCGACCCGGCGATTCACAAACACGCGAGGGAGACCAAGCGGCCGCAGTGCTGCATCCATGCGACGGCGACCCGGCGCTGCCCCCACACGAGGGACGGACGGAGCGAGCTGACGTGGGCCCGTGCCGCTGCATCCATGCAACGGCGACCCAGGGGCTTGCTTGCCCTTCAAAACTGCTCCATGTGAATGTGGATGAGCAGATAAATCCTACTCCGTAGTTCTTTTGCTGCATGTGAATTAGTGTGGATCTACAGAAAATACTTGAATGCATGTGGATGTACAAGAAATATTTTCTGACATTTCAGTGACATGGATAACATAAAAGGATTTTCCTTCTTTTACATCCATGCTCATTCTTCACTGACACCCTGATTCATAGTGCCGGTGTACTGAAATTCGTGTGCTGATGTTATCTATGTATATTTGTACACCCACTGATGCCAAGCATGTTGGTACTCGGTGATAACTGAAATTCATGAGATAATATTCAGACAGCTAGAATTCAGTGACATGCCATGTATGTACTGGTGGTTAACATCTTCCGTATTGCTAAATTCTGAGTTGACTAATCCATCAGCTACAGTAAACGGGAATTGACACTAATCAATTAACCTCTTGTGCCTTATTACCCCTGTCTAATTCTAGCTAGTAAAAAGAAACAGTTTGCCATGAGAAACAATATTCTTGCACATATATTCAGAGGCCATCTAAAATGCATCAAACGAGTGAGCTTTAGTACAAATATCCAGAGATAAAATTATAATCTCCTGATAAAATATTGACACAAGTGTCCATGAGCTTCAGTACAAACATTTAGAGATACAAGGCCATCTAAAATACATCCAACACATGAGCTTCAGTACAAATATTCAGAGATACAAGGCCATCTAAAATTCACCCAAAACATGAGCTACAGTACAAATATTCACAGATAAAATGATAGTCTCCTAGCAAAATGTCAGCACAAGTACCAATGAGCGTCAGTACAAATATTCAGAGATACAAGGCCATCTAAGTTGTCATTCAGGACTGCATCATAATCCTAGCAAATGATAATCTCCTAGTAAAATACATGTGTCAGCCGATTTTCATCACCAAGAACATACTCAAGAAGAACCCTTGGTAGATTTTCTTCCCCTTCCAAAGGTTATCAATTAACATTCGAGCATCTGAATCATGGTCAGGGCCGGTGAAAGGTGGGGGGTCACCGTCGGCGGAGGGCGAGCGCTCCTGGACGGAACAGTTGGAGGGCGAGGAAGAGTGCTCAAGGATGGGGCCGTTGGAGAGCTAGGGCACACGTCCGCCCGAGGGCCAGCGCACATGGCGATCAGCGCGGGACGAGGCTCCATGGCGGCACAGATTGAACACGATCTGTTTTTTTTTTCTGAACCCTTACCAGGCTAGCACGTACGGACAAGGTGTTTTCAGAAAAAGTGTGGTTAAGTGGTTGGTGGGATTCCCACCTCTGATCTATACCATACATTCGTGATCCAAAGGCGTACAAGGATAGTTTTCACTGAATGGCCGTTTTCGCTCGATACTTCACCATTTTGGTAGTCGGATGACATGTATGAACTTCCTATGATATATGTGCGTTGAACTACGTGCTTGAGTTTAACGTTGCATGACATTAGTATGGATTTGAGGATTTGCTTGACATTGTTGTGGAAGCAGACTTTTGAGGTATGACCCAAAATTTTCCTGAAAATCAAATTTCATTTTTTTCATTCAATGGGGTTAGATGATCTAGTTGTCATGGTTAGATGATCTAGTTGTCATGGTCCATGGACACGTCTGCAAATGTATAGGGGACCGGATTTGCCCGGTCCAGCTGTAGATGCTCTAACATTTTTGGTTGGGCATGGCAAGGATACATTTCTAAACAAAGCGGAATTAGTTGGGAACTGAAGTGCAAAATAAGCATGTTCACTTTGATGGCAATGTGCGAAAATAAGCATATTCACTTTGACAGTAATAATCACAATACAAGAAACTAGTGGAGCATTTAACAAGTGTTTCCACCCACATTTTCCAGGCAGAGTTACAGATGGGCCCAAATTTGGCAATTACACGACATGGGCCCTTCCCGGCATAAATGAATTGTGTAGGTTTCCACCTTCACGAGGCCCATCGGATTCTGGTGGTACATTCTCAACATTCAAAATTTCACATCACCACAACCATTTGTGAACTCTAGACATTACAGCAGAGCCTGGACAAAGATATACACAAATAAAATTAATGCTGCCTCACCACCCCAAAGACGGCCTCAGTGCTGAAATCGAGAAAACCCTAAGCAAGAATACATTCTCTAACCACAGGAAGGCCCTTTCCTGAAGCAGCTTCCTTGGGGCTAACAACAAAGGCAACCCAGTTTCCACTGACCCATGTTTCAGGAAAGTGTAATGCTCATCATATACAAGGCTTGAACGATGTGAGCTATCCAGTGCCGTTTGCAGAACGAAGAACATGGACACTCCTGTATTTGCTACAGTAAATCAAGAAAAGGTGGCTGCTCTGATGAAACATTGGAATTGGGAGTCCGTGATGCTCGGGAGAGGGCTGACTGCCCTTGATTTCTACCACGCCCTCTTCCAACAGCAGCAGATGGAGGAGGGGCAAGCCTGGGTGGGCCCTGTGTGCCACTGGATAACTGTGATAGTGAACCAAAATCAGATTTTGGTTGCCTGATGCTCTGGCCTGCAATGGAACTAGCTGCATTGGAGAGACCTGAGCTCGGTCCTCCAATCGGATTTCCATATCCCAGAGATGAGTTGCCTTGGTTCAAATAGCTGGTAGTTGAATTCATGCCCATTATATTTGTATTGTTTGGTTTCGCTGACCAACTCACCTGGTTTGTTTTCATTTGTCCAAGCGAAGTACTGCTACCACCAAACCCCATGTTCCCTGTATTCAACCCAGAAATACTTTGATTTGTGCTTGGCAGGCGCTCCACTGCTGAAATGCTGGCCGCGCTGCTTGGTTTGGGGGGCCAGTCGGCAAAAGGATCAACATCATCAACCCCATCGTTAGACAGCCCTCCAGATTTACTATCCTTGTTAGCTGAGAATGGTGCATTAAAGTCAGATGATGTGCTCATTCTAGGAGGCCACTCAATGTCAACAGGAACACATGAACCAGAAGTTTGATGTCCTGAACTAGGTGCAAGAGATTGCAGAGATGGAAGTGGTTGTGCAGACGGGATTGTAGATGCTGCAACCTGAGTGACTGTCGATGGCTGCTTCGTTTGAGTACTAAGATCGAAGGGAAGTGTCGAGGGTTGGTTTGTTTGGGTACTGAAATCAAAAGGGTCTTTTGAGGGTTGCTTTGTTTGAGCACTAGAATCAAAAGAGAGTGGCGGGGCACTGGTTTTCTTAGTAGGGCCCCAGTCTTCATCCCAAGAAGTGCTCTTTGCAGCTGGCATTTGTCCAGTTTGTCCCAGGCCTCCTGAAGTTGGCTTAGAATGAATCCCATTTGAGATTGAAGGCGATACTTTTACCTCTGTATGCCCATTATCCGTAACTGTCACGCCACGCTTTTCTTCAATCTTGCTGTAGAAGCACACGGTAGTTTAGTTGATAAATTAATTGCTCCATGGAGAGAGTACAACTGATTGATTGAATATAGTAACTGGTACCTTGTGATATCCTTGACAAATAGGATATACTTGGCAAATTGCTGTACATTCAGGTGTTGTGCCGTGAGCAATGGGAAGACTAGAGGAACCACATGCTCCGCAGCAAACTCAACACCACACTGGATTAATGAGAATTTAGTTACATAAGGTACTGGTAGAAGGTAAATAAATTGGCAAGGAGTGCAGGAAGTTCAGCGATAGTGAACAAACATATCAAGGGTAACCTGTTTATAAATCGCATTAGCAACTCCAAGGGTGCACATAAGGGTTGGGGCAGAATGGTCAACAGCTGTGCAACGCCGAAGAGTCTGCAAGATCTCTACTATACCTGTTTTATCCAACGATGGAACAAGATCTCCTAAACAGCGCAAAGCATTTACTCGCACCTACATTTGCAGGGCACTTACGATCATAAGAAAGCACATACACTTATGAAACGATATAGGGTACACAATGCTGCCTTCTAGAAAATGAGGTTCAGAGGCAGTAGCAACCAGCAGATATTTGGAAAAATTGAGTATGTCTTAATTCAGCAATACCCAACAGTGTCGTGATATAGAACAATCATGTGAAGTAAATAAGGCCCAACAGATGCGGTACCCCGCAATCCTACACCACTAAATATAAACTCTGCATCACTATATATTGCTAGGTAAACCTTAATTCAGCAATCAATAATGTCCAGAGCAACTTAGAAAGGACTATTCACATCATTGTCATGAATTTGAGCAGAAAACCAGCATTGTTAATATTGTAATAAATGACGGTAAAATGTCTAAAAACAGAGCAGATACGAAGCAGAAGACAGATAATGCATGACAAAGGGCATGAGTACACTGTACACAAGAAAAATCATATATTTCGTTATGTCATGGCCCTTATCCTTATATTTTCCTTTTCGTGTGCGAATGTGTCTGCTAAAACAGGAATGAAGACGGCAATTTAGTCTCAAATATTTTATATAACCTAGCCATTCATCAAGAGCGTTATTATTATGGTCGTTTGTTGCATAAGCATATTGACCCGATTAATGTTAATAGATAAATTACTGGAATCAAATCATATGCTGTGCATACCGCAGCAACTGTAGTTTTCAAAGCTAATCCATGCACGCGTGGCAGCACAGACTGTTTCAGTAGCTGCAAGAAGAAACCAACACATGAATACATAATGTAGATGCATTATTCACAAAAATAATGAATAAACACATAATGTGGATTATTATTCATATAATAACTTGGTAAGCTCATCCATCATCAGAGACATAATCCAAGCAATCGATAGAAAAAATAATTCCTTGATGGTGAACTCAATGGCTGTTCTTCAATTTAGCAAATAAAAAAACAAGGTTAACCTTCATGTCAAGTTGTCGAGACAGTGTTACTGTTCGTCGCAAAACTTCTTCCTGCAGACGGGGATCAGTATCATCATAAGCCCGTACCAGCATAGGAAGGATATGTGATATCAAATGTTCATTTGTGGCCTGCAAGGGGGGACACAGCAACTATAAGTTAATAATGGCAGGGGTCTCAAACACAAATGGCAGATTCCACTAAACTTTAGTTTGTAAAGATCCTTCAGGGATCAAGATAAACATTGCATTCAATCATAGCGAAACCTAACAGGGCTAAAACAAGAATCAGAATTAGTTTACTTCATAAATATACATGATTACCTTGCTAATAATGAGATCGGCATGCTTCACAAGCAAAAGAAGAGTTTCACCTGATGCTGAAGTAAATACTGGAACAAGAGCAGGCAATGTTGAAAGTTCAAAGTCATCTTTATCCTGCAGAACAGAAAGAGGGCAGAAAAAATGATCTTCAGAAGTTGGTATTACTAAAGAAAATGCAGCATAGCATAGCTTCAAATTTCATTGCTTTCAATAACTAAGAGCTATTTTAAATTGAGGTGTCATACGGGATAATCCAATTCTGGTAGGTTAGCATGCTTTGAATCAAGAATGAGCTAAACCACAGAAAGAGAGGTTACAACACATGTACGTAGATATAAGAAACTAGCCAGGTAAGCAGATACAAGGTTGAGCTAAGTGCTAGTTGTTAGAATTAATTAACCATAACATCTTGCTGTTAGCTAATAATCAATAAATAAAAGATGGTATCATGTACTGTTTTTTTAGGAGAAGTACCTGTGATTCTGCTATTGTCAGAACCATGGGCAAAATCATCTGCTGCATGACCATATTACGTAGCTCGGCACAAAGAGGTGGAAGAACCTGGTCAAAAAATGAGAGTCAGCTATCAAAAAGAAAATCTATCAACTGAGCATTACAATGCATGTATATTTAATTGAATAAGTAAGGTTCAGATGAACACCATGTGCAAATTAAAGTTAATCACACACATCATTAACAAACTTACTGAAATAGGGGACAAGAAATTTGGAATTCAGATGGACCAATGAATGAACCAATTCAGTTCTGTAACATAGAAGCCAGGAATTTGAGGTGTGGACATTTTTTTTCTTTGTTTATCATATTACAACCTTTAGTTGTTGGCAGCCTCAACATTTTTCAGGAAACAAGTACACCCTCAAAATTAGCTCTTTCGTTTTGAACGGAGCTTCAGGCCACAAGGAAAGTTGAGCACTGGATACTTGACGAAATGGAAACTTTATAGAGTTTGAGCAGTTTATGGCCGTTTAAGCAATAAAGTTTTATCATGCATCTGAGAAAGGCACGAAAGAGCAAGTAAAGATTTTTATTGGACATACGTAATTACAGCTCCTCTGAACTGAAACAAAGTAGAGAGAATGGATTGCACATACTTTATATCGAAGAACTCGGGAATCAAAGTCTTTCCACATATCCGTTAATGCTTTCAGAAATTCTGTCTTCTGCATGTTATCTCTCTCCTGAAAGGGATATTTTATAAACATCAGAACCATCTGCAGCTAACAGTCTAGCAAGTAACTGAAGCTTAAATTGGTCAGTTGTGATTCTCAGGTTGCAAAGAAGAAAGCAGAAGAAAGCTTGATACACATAGCAGTGAAACTCAAAAGGTTTAAACTTATCTAGGAGAAATGGAAGGAGTCATAAATACATACAAGCAAATGGTCAAGGAAACGAAGAGCCCGCAACCTTGTATCATGCCGGAAGAAAGAAGAGCCTGTAAGAAGGAAAAGGGTAAGGGTAATGTATCAAAAGCATTTCAACCTACTTTTAGTGCTGTCAGCAGTTAACACCATTAGTGACAACATCCAGAAACTCCATTCTACAAGCACTTATACACCAAATTAGGAAAACACAACCGATACTTTACCTGTGAAGGCCATCGCACTAGGGCGTGATGCTGCATCAACTGATAGCATATTTCGCAAATCAGCCACCAGATCAGTAGGAACATTAGAAAAGGCTTCACTTGTTAAATATGTCAATGAATTCATATACTGCAATAACAGGGGACATGTCAGTATATTTTCTGCACATGCAACCGTAGCATAAGTCAAAGGTAGAGCCAAATTAAATACATTCTATTTTGACAAAGCATGTGCCAGATTAAAGACATACCATTTTCACATTGTTATGGCAATCCAGAAGTGGTCTATGAGCCACTAAGTGGTAAGCCAGGCATCCAAAACTGAATATGTCACAGGTAGAGCCTACTTTAGAATCACCACTGCGGACCAATTCTGGTGCAGTATAGTTCAGAGATGGTTGAAGAGGTAAAGCTGTATCTTCGACATCATAGTCCTAAAGAGCAATCAAGGATATAAAGAGGTTATGATTCTTATTTACTTTGCTAATCACAGCGAAAGTATCAGCAAAAAATAGCAAGTGTGCAAAGAATATGCTTAGTCGCAAATGATGTTTAGCTGTTCACAGAACCATTCTGACCAAATTAAATGACAGTTTCTGTCGACCGCAGCATATAAGTGGTTATAGAGCTACGCAAGTCCATGTTATCTGCAAATACCTTAAGCAACACTGCAGAAGTTGTAGCACATATTTGACGGGTAATGTGGAAAATATATATTCATGACTAGGAAAAATTCTATGGCAGATAAATAGAGAGAATTTCTGTCCAATTTAGTGCTGTGCTCCATTGCAATCTACATAGCTAGGACTTAAGAGAATACTAAACAATTCTATCGAAATACTCAGTTATGGCTCAAAGAAAGAAGATGCCAACTGGTTAATATATCCAAAATGGTAAAACAAATCAGCACATTACTCACGAAGTACAATGTCATAAGTACTAACCGAATAATGGAATTGCTGCGATGATGCCAAACCACCTGTGGCTTGGTCAACAGAAAGAGCAAAACCAAAACCTCCAAGCTTCCAAGATCCACTTGAAGTTATAAAGACCGTCTGCAAAAGAGACCAAGTTATTACAGCATAGAAGTTTAGACATGCACACGCTTATAAGCAGCAATATCAAAAGCATGCAAGGGCAGTAGAATATACTAAGAACTGCTACCATTGTTTCTTATAACTGTCCTCACCTTACCTTTGGCACAGACAAATGGAACACTAATCTAAGAAAGAGTTAGCAGTGACCATGCATGGCCCTACAAATGGTAGGCTACAACCACTTAGCCTATTCTAAAGCAGTAATGAGGTTTAGAAGTGAAGTACTGAATTAAGATACTACTTTTATTTCCTCGATAGACGTTTATTTTGAAAGGAGACTCCTGATGCCAGGGACAGTTGTCGTGAAACAGAAAACAAAATCAAGCCTTCTACGGGATGGATGATTTGCAGGTACTATTAAACTCTGTGCTACCAACCATGATGTCAGAACGGAAAATTTAGCAAATAATCAGTATAAAGACAATAATATGTATTAACCATTAGAGAAGGTTTGAACTGATTTTGCTGAGTAACTAAGTGCAAGTATAAAGCAGAAGGATATAATGGCCAGCCAGCCTAGACAGTATGGTACAAATGAACAATAGAGCTAGTTTAATGACGGGGGATACTGATGAGTGCATAACAAAATATATAAATTACAGGAAATAAAACCACGCAGAAACTGTGAACATAAGAAATCTGCTAAGTTGCAACCTCAGGTGATATAGCTCGATGTGCAAGATGGGCATTGTTATGGAGAAAATCCAACGTCTCTGCAACTTGTAGCAATCCATGTTTAATCTCCAGTATCCCCATTTCCTGGAACACAGGCGGAAAATAAGCAAACCATAGTAGAGTCGAAAACCAACCAATTGTCATGCGCTACTGACCCCACAAGTTCCGTGCAAGAAAAATTCTACAAGGACCCAACCACAGATGATATTTACGAGTGCATTGGTTGACAAGCTTACTCGATAGCAATCTAACTCCCTGAAATATCACTTGAAAAACTAACAATTTTATAATAGAAGAAATCAACACAGTCTGACCCAAACCTATTGTTAGTGAAGTCAATCATGTTAATCTCGTATGTTCCTACCACATGTCAATGGCGGAGCCACCCTGGGGTAAAATGATGCCACGAGATTTTTATAAATAGTGCATAAGAAGTAACAAGACTGGAGAAATGCCACAGGACTTCACGATTTCAGTAAAATGAACCCACTAAAGGAAGTTAATGTGAAGAAGGGCTTGTTGTGAAGTTTTAAAAACATAGGTGATTCCACTTGGTGAAATTTGCGGATACAACACTGAAATGACACATTCGATATCATGGATTACACTGGGCATTCACCATGGTGCTAAATAATGGACCAAATTGGGCAAAACTATCAGTTTCTCACTCTCGTCTATATGAAAACAGACACTGATCACCTGAACTTGCTTGCTGGCGGTGACTGATCACTAGTTACTACCAGTGAGTAATGTAACAATACCCACACTGATACTACCAGTATACTTGAACTAAATCGCCAATTTCACAAACTCTAGCCTCCATAGCATCCACTTAATTGCGAAGGTGCAAAGCTAGATATCCAGGAATGATGAAGATCAAACAAAGGCGTGAGTGCTATGTCGGTACCATGCCCTTGAGTTCCTTGGGCACCTTGCCCACGTTGTCGAGGCACCCGAGCGCGTTGGAGACGGAGGCGAAGAGCGGCTCAGTGACCATGGCCATGGCGGCCTTGGTCTCGTCCAGCGCCTGCACGACGTGGAGCACGCCCGGATGACGCAGCCGCACGAGGCGCGCTGCGTCAGCGCGTGCGAGGTCGAGGAACGCGTCCTCCGCCGCCCTGGAGAGCCCGGCCCGCGCCCGCGCCTCGGAGAGCGCGCGCTTGTCGAGCACCCAAACGGAGACGACGGGGTACGGCGTGGATGCCGCCGCGTCCCGCGGGCGCGCCGTGTAGATCCGCCACGCGAGCCCCGGGCCGCCCGAGCCCGCCTGGTCGAGCAGCTCGTAGTCCTGCAGCGGCCGCGGGCCCGTGACCTCCTGCACCGTGGTGGTCACCGTCTTCTCGATCACCGCCGACGCCTTGGCCAGCGCCTGCTGCAGCGTCTTCATGTTGAGCGACATCTCGTCCGCCGGTGCCCGCGCCGGCGAGATCTGGGAGCCCCTCCGCTGCTGTGGTCGACGGGGAATTTCGGTGGAACTTCTGGGGGTCGGTGGCTCGATCGGTCGGTGGCAGCGCGTGTTTGGTAATTTACGGGTATTCTTAATTGATTTTCTAATTGCAATCGATTTTGTTGGGGGACGAGACTCATGTGACTGTGAGAAACCGCGAGGAGGATGCTTCGTCAGCAAGGAGAAGAGAGGAAGGGGAAAAGTTTGTCTGATCTGGGCCGTTGGTTTGCCTTTTGCTGAAAGGATGAAAGGTTGAGTCCTGGCCATGCAGTTAATTAATTATACAAACGTGGAAGTGTCAACAAAATTAGGAACGCGGTTATTCTGCAAGTTAGACCAATCACAATGGGTAGTAACTTAGATTAGTAACATGCAATGCAAATGTTACTAATCTAAGTTACTACCTCTATTGTGGAGAGTAGTCCTGGCCATTTCAGGCCCGGCCCTGTCGGCCCACCCAGGCCAGGCCCTAAAATACAGGGCCTAGGCCCGATGGGCTTGCCCATGGGCCGGGCTTGGGACTGAGTTTTGAGCCCACCAATAGGGCCTGCATGGGCTTGGGCTTGGCATACTGTAATTTTAAGGAAGAGGCCTGACCCATGGCTCTAAGCCCTAAGGGCTTCTCAGGGCTTTTCATCAGATGGGTCGGGCTTGGACTTGAAAAGTAGGCCCAATGGTAGGATCTGGGAGGGCCTGGGCCTCAGTTTTCTGCAGTGGGCTTTTTTAGGCCCGACCCAAGCCCGGCCCAAGCCCGGCCCGGCCCAGCCCATGGCCAGATATAGTGGAGAGTAACATATATGTGGTGTCATTCACACTTAATTTATTAGGTTGTAAACTTATCTTGTCTTGGTATGTGTGATGTTACAGTAACTAGTTATGTTACCACATGCCATTATTTCCTCATTAGGCTGGTCGTAATGGTAGTATTATACTCCCTCCGTCTCATAATGGAAGACGTTTTTTTGACTCTAGTGTAGTGTCAAAAAACGTCTTATATTATGGGACGGAGGGAGTAGCTAGTATCATGCATGTCAACTAGACAATTTTAATGAGGTGTCGTAGCATTAAATGAAGAAAAAGAGGGTGGAGTATCATATCATGATACCGTATCATAATAAATGCTATATTACTTTGTGTCATGCATGACAATAAATAGAGTACTACATGATACTTATATATGATATTATGCATTAGTGTAACGCCCGGATAATCTTGCTACAGTAATCCCACGCTAATCATGGCACGTCATCCCGATTACTGTTGCTTTCCTCGCAATAATTCGAAACCGTTCAAATTCAAAATTCAAATTGATGAAAACAATAAAAGTTTTCAAAATTTAAAATAAAATTGTTCGGTGGTTGACGAATATTACAAAGGTAATTATAGTGCAACAGACATATTTTTACAAAATGGCTAAATGGATTAAATGTTTTAAACAGAAAAGAAATAATAAAAGAAAATACAAAGGAAAAAAACAAAACAAAAGGAGGGAAGCCCCCCCTCCCTGCTGGACCGCGGCCC